TGAATCCTAATAGTGGCATACTGTAACTGCCTCCCTGGGAACGTAATAACCTGGGATACAAGGTCCAGAGTTTGGACAACTTGACCATGTTATAGAGCTTCTAGGTCTGTTTCATGAAATCACAGAATAGCTGAGGTTGGCAGTAATCTTTGGACATCATCTAGTCCAACCCCACTGCTCATATCAGAGTCAGCTAGAGAGCGGGTTCTTCATGGCTTCAAGTATCTCCAATGATGGAGACATCACAAGCTCTCTGGGTAACCTGTTCCAGTGTTTGACCACCCTCACAATTAAGTCTCTTCTCACACTTAAATGGATTCAGTTTGTGTCTAATTCTTCTTGGGTGCTACTGAGAAGAGTCTGCCTAGCTCTTCTACACCCTCCCATCGTATGTTCATACCTTACTGTTTGGTATGACTGCTTTTGCAACTTGAGCTGGCAACAATCTATACAGAAGGAAGAATAGTAATCCTTCCAATGGTTCTTGCTGCAGATTTATGCTTTAACCTGGAAAACCTGTTGTTTTGGGAAGATCTAGAAGAAAGAGAAACTGGAAAAAGTTAGGATATTTTTCATCATGGGAAGTTTGAGAGGAAAATAATGCTTCATTTCATTTGGACCAAAATCAAATAATTACAAACAAATATCTTGAAACTTGCAGTTGGCTCATAGTCTTTACTGTATTTTATCTACACTGCCTAGACTGATCACATTTATACTTTTCTCCCCCTTGATGCATAATTTTACTTATCATTTTCTTAGACTAGTTAACTACATTATTAAAGCACAGTTGAAGATATTATCTGTAAAATCTAGGTGTTCTTTGCAGTATCAGGAACTGCCGTTAGCCAAAAACTTATTACAATTACATATAACACATAATATAATAGCATCTTTCAGTATTTTCTAAGGTTTTTTGTCCATAACTCTCACCTTATAATCTTAGTTTTTGGACATTTAGCATGAAAGTCAACAAGTAGTTGTGTTAGAACATATCTTTTCCACTATTTGACCCTTGGAGACAGCGCTTCTTGTAGTCACAGTTCCATCTGTCTTCAGCTTTGATTTCCTGAACAAGTTAATTGATTGTAATCTTTTTAACAGGATTTTTCCATTTCTGTCACTCATTAGGGAATTCGCATCCCATATTGTAACCTTCCATGTCTCCTTGCAACTAAAATTTTTGGTAGGAATCAAAAAAATTTTACTTCTTCAAGTATAGAAATCAAAACCAAGTAGAAGCATAATATAAATACTGTTTAAGAGCAGAATACTGGTTATGCCATAAACTAATTGGGTTTGCATACTTACATAAAAATAAATAGTCCACTAAAGCATAACTCACTTTGAAACACCTTAGAGCTCAGTTTTTTAAGGTTTCTAGTTGTATTTTAAGGTACAAGAAACTTATGGAATAAGGACAGTATGAAGAGTTTTAATTATAACATTTTTTCAACAGTAAATAGATTTGATTGCAAAATTTTATTAATAATGATTCAAAAATGAGTTACAAAGCTTTCCACAAGAAATCAATGACTGAATTTTTTGTGGTATTTTGATTTTGAAAGTAGCTTTTATTTTTATAGTGAATTCTTTGGAGACTTGTAATTGACATAAGAAATTTCATTTAAAGTGCAATTAGTTCTACTGGAAACATTCATGTCAAAAATATTGTCCTTTCTCTGGATACTATAGATGCTCCACTACCATGAGAGATCATCTTGGGTGATTTTCATTACCTTAGTTTAAGTTATATCTCATAATATTCATGTGTAGTCTTAAATGACTAAGTCTGACTTCTCAGAGGTTACAAGCATTTCCAATAAAATTGTTTGTTTGCGGGAACTTTTATTGTAAAATGCACTCGTGCACTGAATGACAAATGTGGAATGAGGTTTTTGAATGGAATAAGTTATAAGAGACGGCTGAGTTGTTTGGGGGTTTTTAACTGTTATTTAGTTCTGGGTTTTTCTTTTCTGACCAGTAGGATTCCAATGTCTACCATTTCATTTCTAATACATTCATTGATTTTGGCTTGTTACTTAAGACCACATTAAGATTTATAGCTGCATTTGCAAAATGGCTATGCTAATTCAGACCTTAGCCAATTTTGTATTTGAATGCTAATCAGCATGATGTTATATTTTCATTTTGCTGTTCTCTTTTCCATTTAATTTTATTGGATATCACTGAAATTCATAGATGTATTATGCTTAACTCCCAAAATTATACTGAACTCTTAGCATTCAGAAGGTTTTGATTTGGTGCTGAAAACATTTGTATTTACAGAATATAATTTATAATAGAACACATTTATTTACCTTTTTAATGAATATTTATATTTTTTTCAAATTTGGGATATGTTTACTGCAATAACTTTGGGTCAGCACTAATAACTGTACCATATGTCTCTATATTTCTGAACCAGGTGGCTGGCAATCATGCCTCCAGATGAGCAGTGGTTCAGTGACAGCAACAAAAAACCTTCTTGTGATGTGCACATATTGCTATAAACAATCCCTGTTTTCTTCTTTGACTTGCTTATTTCTGAATACCATTTTAGTATCAAACATCATATTTTTAGATGATCATTCAGTATTGGATAACAATTTTTTTAATATATGATCGACAGCTATATATTACTAAACAAAGAACATCAATATTAGCATTATCCTCTCTGCAGTTCTGGTTAAGTTGCTAATATTGTACATCTCTTGCAAGAGTACTTGGCCTAGTAGGTGCTGTGTTATGAATTTCTCTAAACTTACATGTAGTCTGAACAAACCTATTTCCAGAAACTCTACTTGTACCTACCAATTTTTTTGTAGAAAGAAAACTTTTTCATAATGTCAGTCGATCTGTGGCTCTACTTCACACATACGATTCTTTTCATTCCAACATATATTTTCTTTCCTTAGACTCCTAAAAATTTTTACAACCAGTAGTAGAGTCAGCCTAAGATTTTCAAAGACTTTTCTTCAATGTAATCTCTGACTTTATAAGTACTAATCTTTTGCTCACAATATTCAACTACAAAGAAAGTGGTAAGGTAGTTTTCAGTGGTTTTTAGTTTGTCTCTTGGTTATAACTTCTGAGTTGCTTCAAGATATTACTGTGTGTCTTTTTTTGCATATCCAATAAATACTGTATATAGTGTGAATTTCTAATACAAATGTTTTCCTAAGTGTCTCAAAAAAACCCCAAACCCAACCTTTGAATCCTTTCATTGGAAGCTTCATACTATAAGTCAAAGAATATAGAGTTATTTATTTTCCTTAAAGTTTGAGAAGATAAAGTGACACATAGAGAGTTTACCTAAGCTGGTATGTTACTTTTTTTTCTATACAGACATACATACAGAGAGAGATATGTTTAAGAACATGGAGAGTTCTGATTTTAATGCAACTTCATGCAGAAAGAATCATAGCTTTTTTCATTCATAAATCTTGAATTTATATATAACCGATTGTTCTAGAGGGGAAATCTTTCTTTTATGAATAAGCTTGAATTAGTACTGGTACATGTAAAGCTTTTTTTTGAGACACTCCCATGCTGGTTTTATTTTGACTTTGTCTTCATTAAGAAACTTGGAATTTATACATCATCTCTTACACATCTTTAACAAGCTTTGAGACTTTTTTCTAAAGTTGTCTCTTGTTAAGTATAACAAAAATTCTAACTAGACTTTAAATGTCAGCCTAGAGCACTCTGTCACAGAGAACACGATAGACTGACTATAGTCCTAGACCACTCAGTAAATTTTGTTATAGCACTTCTCTCTATGGATTTTGTTTTATTGTTTGGATGATATATATTTGTCTCATAAAAAAAAATTTCTGAAGCGACATTTCCTCTAAAAATCCTATTTACAGGAATATTTTCAATATACATTTAGAAGTATATTTTTATATCTACTAAAAATTCAGGTTTGTCAGTATAAAGAGTTTTCAAAAAGAAAATTAAAGCTTGATGTGTTCTATGACTGGGGGTAGCAGCCTGAGATGTAATATTTCAGCTAAACATTTTTGCTTGATTTGAGCTGATAGAAAATAAATACATTTCTCCCTGAATTGGTTGTCATCTTATGGAATGAGATAATTTTATGCATTATGCCCCCATTTTTCAATAAAAATAGTTTTCAAACCCTGCAATTTAGAAAACATTTATTAAAGAGAAGACAGTGGTGTTTCATGGGTTCTGTGTGACTGTATGTATGGTATGTTTGCATGACATATTTAACCTAAGGAAACTTGTTTTACTGGAAAGGCAACTACTAATAAATGAGAAGCCATTAAGGGCAGCTTAATTCATAACTTTCTGTGATTACTGTGTCATTCCACGGTCTAGGTCCTTCCCAGCTATAGAGCAAAAGCATTTTTTGTTCACAAAAACAACCTCAAATTTCACTTCTATTCTTGAAAAGAAATTAAAAATCAGCAATTTGGCAAGAAATAACTAGACGATTTTTAAAAGTCCCTTCCAACCTAAACCATTCATAATTCAGATCATAATTCTATCATTCTCTTATCATTGAAAATGGACTGTGTGCAAGTGTTTGCAAGTGTCACCTAGACCACTAAAACACTTCATTACATAGATGAGAAATAAGAAATAATATACAACTATTGATTTTCTCTATTCTAGTTTGAAAAAAAAATCATTGAAATTTTGCCTTGTTCTTTTGCATATGGAAATGTCACTGCTCCACTGAGGCAATGAGTCTATGTATGAATTCTCCCTGAACAGTCACCACATATAAGGAATGCAAATGATGTAGTTCTGTCCCTAGAATATTCATTTGCTCTCTGAAAAGTTTTTCTTCCCCTTGAATTACTCATTCACAGTATATGGATCAACCCATGTTAACATCAGATAAGGAATGTTATCCTGACCAAATTTAGCTATTTTGTACACAGTAAAATGATTTTGTAATGTGAACCACTGTGTAAAAAGAAAGAGGGGGGAAAAGTATTTTGAAAAATTTCTTTTTTTCTCTGCAGACTCTTTTTGGTGAAACAGCTGTAGCTTGGATTTTATTGTGTGACCTTGATGCTTACTGTCAAGCCCTTCAAATAGCTGTTAGATTTGGCAAGATTAAAAGGTAAGTGGAATATTAAATGTTAAAGCAAATCACTATAAGAAAACAGAAACCTATCTATTTAGTAAGCATTGTTATTAAAATTATGTATTAAAATGACTGATATCTTCAATGGGAGAGGCTCTGAAATCTTTTTCAAAATGTATTACTTCATTTAATTTGTTCCTGGTAGTATCTAAGTCATAAGTTAAAAAAAACCAAAAACCAAAAAACAAAACCTCTATATAGAGGAAATACAGAAGTGGAATAGAAAATAAATTGTTCTCTTTATAACTTGATATCATTAAAGCAAGAATTCAAATTTTCAAATCTAGATGTGACAGGATGGCAAATGAAAAGGGGTCTAAAATATCTGCTTCATTTTTGGATTTGCAACTTAAGCAAATGTAGTTCTCCCTTTTTTTTCTTTTGTTTGGGGATTTTAGTTGCTTGGTTGGGTTTTTTTTCTAAAGCAGAAATCAAAAACTGGGCAACCTTAACTGAAATAATCAAGTGACATAGAAACAGTTAATTAAGCACAAGGCCAACAAAGCTGTCTTGTCAAAGCTTGGCCATTTACATGATGCTGAATATCTTTTGTGAAATAAGCCTCAGTAAAACCAGTTTCATCAATGTACCTATTTTACTATTTTGCTAGACAGGTTAGAGAAAGCATATCTATTTGATCAGTCCTTTACACTAGATATAATATGTAAAATGCTTACTTAAAACATTAATTTACTGAACTAAATTAATGCTGTGTAAATCAGCATTTCTTTTATCTCTAAGAGAGACATTTTTCATCCTTTACATATTTGTGGGTCAGATATTGCCTCAAGGAGAAAGAAAGTTTATGAATAATTTAAAAATTACCATTTTTGCATCTGATGAGAGCAGTAAGAAGCACTTTCAGTGTTGGTTACATATTCCAGGGATTATTGCTTATTAAAAGACTTTTCCTTGTACTGGGTTCCCCAGTACAAGAAAGTCAAGGATGTTTTAGAGAGGGTCCAAAGTAGGGCTACAAAAACAATCAAAGTACTGGAACTCCTGTCCTATGAAGACAGGCTAAGAGAGCTGGGGTTGTTCTTCCTGTAGAAGAAAAGCCTTAAGGGGGATGTTATCACAGCCTTTCAATTTATAAAGAGATGATTATAAGAAAGGTGCAGAGAGCATTTAACCAACTCCTGTACAGGTAGGACAAGGAAAAATGATTTTTCACTGAAAGAGGATAGGTTTAGTTTGGGTATACTAAAGAAATTTTTTGTGATATGGGTAGTGATACAGTGAAACAGGTTGCCAGAGAAGTTGTAGATGTCCCATCCCTGGAAGTGTTCAAGGTCAGATTGGAGGAGGTTTTATGCAATCAGATTTAGTGAAAGATGTCCCTGCCCATGGCATATGGGTTGGATTAGAAAGTCTCTTAAGGTCCTTTCCAGTCCAAACTCTTCTATGATTCTGTCTGTAAACACCTTTTGGAAATAGAATTCATACTTGGAACTTTAGGGAATGTGACCAAATAAGCTTTTGTTTGAATCTCATAAACAAAGTAGAAATCATCATAATGAAATACTAAAACTTAGAATAATAAAAGTACTAATGTGTATTAATATTAGCATCAATAAATTGAAAGACAGAAAAGTCTCTGAAGAAAAAAATACCCCTACTGTACCAAACTATTAGGAAATTGTAACCACAGATCTAATATTATGATGATGCTAGTTAGTCCATCCAGATTACTGTAAATTGATTATTGCACTATACCTTTATACCTTTTTGAAGCAGATGTTAATAACTTCTGTGAAAACTGAGCCCAAAAGCTAATAAGATGTTATTATGTACATTTATGGTTCAGATAAAGAGAACAAGTTAAAATGTGAAAAATAATTTATTGCATGAAGAAAAGGTAAGGATCACTTAGGAACCAAGCATATATTTAGTGTTAATAAGTATCATGAGTTATTCAGCCTCTAGTGGTTGTGGCCACCAATGCAGGGAATTTTTTAATGAGGTGATGGAGACATGTTTCTGCTCTGTATTATTTTTTCGAAACCTTTCCTGTCTACTAGTACTAGCTCATTCTTCAGATAAAATGGTTTGTAAATACATTCTTAGTATTGTTAAAAATTTATTTTCTCCAGTAATTGAACTAAATAAGTCACTGTCAGCAATCTGCTGACAAGCAGTTGTTTCTAGTCCATTGAATTTCACTTACACTTGATTTACTATTAGTGTATGAATAAAAAAAGTTATTATAATTCAACAGAGAAAACAATTTTCCTGAAATAATTGTCAATATAAGAATATTTTGGCAATATCAGTCTGGTACTTAATTGTCAGGAATATGAGACATACTTATTCAGGTGATGAATTTTGCTATTCAGTCTTTGTGCCTGATGAAACTAATTCCAATTCATGCTCTCTCCGGTCAAAAGAAGAAATATGACAAGTCTTTGTAACTTCAAATCATGCAGTTTTCCTAGTCTCCGACAATACATGATCTGTTTTATGTATCTGATGGTATTGCATTGCACTACATTTTGCATAAAATAATACTCTGTATCTATTGTAAACATAAATTCATCTTTTTGTTGAGCTCAGGAGTTAAACATTTGACAAAGAGGATTTGATATATGAAATCACTTTCTACTTTCTATTTTGATAGGCTTATATACAGTCGCTAATAAAATCATCGACACCTATATCCATGTATTGTATACACCAGAAAAGAAGATATACAAAGCAAAAATGCGCAACATATTTTAATTGATTGGCTATAAACTCTCTGATGCATCTCAGGAAGTGAGGATAGTGCTTCTTGATGTATTTCAGGAATAAATCCTTTATATCTGATTAAAGTGCAGATGACCATCATAAACTATTGTAATCTGAAAGGGTTGATCTCCTGATGCAATCTTCCATATGCTTCAGGTTCAGAACTCGGAGGGAATTTGCTATGATTACTGAATGCAATTTCGGTGCAGATGCAATCTCCCAACTTAAAACTCCCTATGTAAAAGAAAACTCCTTTTTAATATTTCTGATTTTAGAAAAATTCTGCAACTTAATGATAAAATCATTGTTAACGATAATAAATTACGGAAACATTACTGAAAATCTGCATAAGAACAAATGGGAAATCTGAATTATTCTGACATCAGTATCTAATCTAATATTTCAAATCTTAAAGTACTAGTAATGTTAATTCAGTAGTTTTTAGTTCTTAGGTTGTTTACTTAATACATAAGAAGACATATAATAAGCCAGAACTTAGTGCAAATGGTTTAAAGACTTATTCCTCTGTGTTTTGTAGATCATCTTTAGATTTTAACAATTGCGGACTAGGATGTTGTATTATGGAATTACCTTCCAAGATTTGTTTATGGAAGTGAAATGATCCTAAAATCTCTTGTTTCTGAACATGGTTCTTGGGCTGTAAGAACCTGAGAGTAGTTTGTAGAGACTTCATCCCTTTAGAACAACCAATAAATGTGAACTTTACCATACCAACACTTATAAATTACTAGGGGGACAAATATTTTTTGGAGTAACAATCACTAGACGAAAGAGACTAAATATTATGTGTTAGAGAGAAAAAAAATGTTATCAAAAAGGTCATTTCCTAATTAACAAATGTTGACTAAACGGAGCATAGTTATTTTTAATATGTATATATTAATATGTACATATTCATTTTTAGTAAGAATATAGAACTTGCTCTTTCAGTAAAATATTGTACACAGTTTCTGCAAAACAAATTGTCTTATTTGATAGCTGGCATGAAATGCAGGTAACAGCAATGGTTTGACATTGAGAAATTAAGCTCAGTTATTCAGTGGCAGGAAACTGCACTCAATGAGCAGAGAAAAATATATATAACACTCAGCTTGCAAAGAACAGCATTATTCTATAAAATAGTTGCCTGTCAACTGGAGCTTTCTTTATAACTTCTGTTATGGAAAAAAGTAATTGCATATTCAATTCACTCTCAGTTGATTTTTTGATAGGCTGAATGTCATTATATGGTAAAATAATTTCCAGAAAATTGTTATTTTTTAAAAGAATATCTGAATAAGCCTGAAACTACAAGATTATTTTTTTTTTTGGTCCCTGGAGTTACATGGTCATGCTTATGGCATGCTCAGGTACTCTTCTTGCTAGAGTACTACACCCTTGAACACTAGAATTTCATATCTTAGACTGCTGAAGAGGTAATTAATATGGAAGAACTGACAGTAGATAAAGACAGTAACAGAAACATTCCTAAGGGTGAAAGAAATTAAAGACTAAATGATCATAGAAATTTCGTTTTTAGAGTGTATTTTTTAGTGAGTACATGTACTTTTCATAAATACTTCTGTTGCAGATAGTAACAAAAAACTAATACCTCTCCAAGAGGAGAGAACATCAAGGGAAAACCTCTATGTAGAAGAAAAAACAAAGATCTAGAAAGTAAATTACAATTTTTTTTCTTCTTCAAAAATGCGAAGAATAGGGTAGTGCTATTAATTTCTGTGACTGTGGAGAAAGAACATGATCTTCCTGGCCTTTAACTATTACATAGAAGTGAATTGGCAGTGGTTGTACAATTAGGTTAATGGCTGACTGTGATGGAAATTACAAAGACAGGGGGAAATGTAATGGGTAAATTGTAACTGAATAATTTCTGATATATTAGAAGAGCTTTTGCCTAAAGAAGGTTAAGTTTACTAAATCCTGAATATGGTAAAACAACTGCCAGCATAATTGTCTAATAATAATTTTTTCAGCTTTCTAGTCTGAACAAGAAACATTCTCTCTTCAGTTTGCATCTCCATAATTGTCACAGATTTGGTTCCCTGCTTTGTCTTTTAATATCTTTTTCACTCATTTTTTTTAATATTCTATTGCTGTTACAGTTGGCTGTGTGCTCTCAGATTCTATAAAGCAGACTGGAATTCTGTGGATTTGTCTATTTCCTAGTCCATTGTGTGGAGCTGTACAAAGAGAGAAGAAATCATAGATGTTTAAGCTGCTCTTAAGAA